AAAATGTGGCACGAAGAAAAGGAAAGAACGGCGAGAAGAGCCCCTGGGGACAATGTCTTACCAGACCAGTTCCAAACGGTCGCCGCCGTTCTGGCTTCTGATTGGTGCCAGAAAAACACAAGTCTTCTGGCACCAATCAGAAGCCAGAACGGCGACGACCGTTTGGAACTGGTCTGGTAAGACATTGTCCCCAGGGGCTCTTCCCGTCGTTCTTTCCTTTTCTTCGTGCCACATTTTCCCGCCCGTTTAGACTTTCCCTCGTCCCCACTATCGGCCCCTGGGTCTCCGAGGATGGCCCGACCCTCGCAAAGGCTAACTTGCACGCATTGTTCTCATCAGGGGGGGCTGGCAGCGAGGTCTGGAACCGAGTTTACATGATCGCCCCAGTTAAGAAATTTGACCGAGTGAGACTGAACACTAAAATTGGCCTTTCGTTGAAGAAAAAAAATGGCGGCCGATTCGCGTTATTCGGGTATCTGAAATGTGATTATTGTAAACGACTGTACCGAAGGAAAAACTGACTAAATATCATGGCAGCTACTGTAACAAAGTTATTCAAGAGTTTTCTCTTCCAAACTTTTGCAAGTAAAGTCACCAGGTAAGCTGAAAATTGTTTTATTTTTGTTTACTTGTAGATCTGGTCAGTGCTTACTAAAAGTTGTTATGACACCCTGAAGTCTTAAAATGCTTCACTGATTACTGTAAGCTTAAGTTTAATAATAAAACTGTTATGCCTTAATTTGCATTTATGTACATGTGCATACAGTTTCTTAGCTAAACATAACATACTTAGCGACTAACATAACGCTCATTATTATTACTAACAGTTTGATGCAATTTTGTAAGCCCATCATATTTATATGAGAGTCTACTTATATTATTATTTATTATTTAACTTTATTTAACGAGGGTAAAGACATTGATTACTGATCACCCAGTAGTTTTCATAATGGCCCTCCTCCTTATGATGGAACTTCACTGCTGAACTTAATTCTTGGTTTTGCCCTGAGTGTATTATGAAAGGAATTGTACTTTAACCTTTTCACGTTCTTATATTTATCGCTTCACGTGGGTCTAAAAATGTTTTCTGGACATACCCAGCAATACAGAACAGTATACAATAACAAAAGAGTTTTTAAAGCTGTATGTCACGTACATCATAGTTACAGAGACTAGTGCACTGCATTTGCCAAATCATTGGGCTGTTGTAAAGGAAATTAAATTTTGACTAACCTGACTTAAGTAGTTTCAAATTAATTAGAGCATACATACAGAGTGTATGAGAAGACTAAGAGAGGTGTTGAATGGTAAAATAAGAGAAGCTTAAAGACTTTAAATGTTTAAAAATTCAACACTGCAATAAACGAGGTGGAAAATCTGAAAATCATGGAAATGGTAACTCTCAAATCAACCCTAAATGTTTATCACAAGTAATTAAGAGATAAGGGGATCACACAGAGAGGTTTGAGTATACAATAATATTTAGTTTAGGTACCATCGGCCACTTCTGACTTAAGGAACTTGCTAGCCTGTTCTAGCCATTCATATAGTAGTGCATGGCGTCAGATCGTGGAGAGCGAGTCAATCTATTTTTTTTTCTCATATTTTTCTCCTACACTCTAGTTATCTGAACACCTGGAACAGGCCAGCAACTTGCTAACATGTTACCTGGAGCCAATTCAATTTATCATAAGAAAAGAAGGGAGATTAAAATGTCAGCTACAATTTTGAGAGTCCTTAGACTTGTTTTTTTCGCACAGGGGTTTTTCCTGATGGAGACATACCAGTTTCTGACCAAGTTCTTGTGGACTTGGAAGCGGAAGAAGGTGTTTCAGAAAATGATCTGTCATTAACCTTTTCAAAAAATGCCAAACTCAAATGCTTCCCTTGATTTTCCAAATGGGGTTTGTCTCCAGTTTTAATACACATCCCACCATTTGCAAGGCCATCATGGCTATACCATCCAGGGTTGATGGAATGCATACTATTGTCAACGTACAGCTCAGACCAGTAGTGTGCCCTGGCTTGGCTATGATAGATTAACCCTGTAAGTTTGTACTTTTGTTGTAAGACTTCAAACTCTTGGTCAATATGAGGGTCCCATTTAAGGGGTGCAGCATCTGGTTTAAAAACCTCAAATATGATTAGGTTTGGAATGTGTTGAAGTGTTGTAATACGAAGAGCAGGCTGGTCACATTTATGGGTATTATTTCCTGTTTCATTCATGTGGTTGCATGTGCCAGATACACATGAATATCCTTGAGGTAAAGCATGGCGTTTGAAGTATTTAATCAGACTAATGGAACTTTGTGGATCTGAGGGATCTGTCCGATCTTCAGGGATAACTTCATCTACAATAATTTTAAATGTGCCACTCTGTCTTTCTTTTGATGGAAATATGTGATTACCAAACTTGCAACATTTTCTAGAAACTGATGTAACAAAACTGAAGAATTTGCGTTCCTCCTGAGTCATATAATAATGCAATGAATGGATTATTCCTTCAAGACTACACTGATTTCCCAGTCTATAATAAATACGACCATTACATGTTTCATTCTGCAACCATGACCATAAAATTATCTTACTATCATGAAGTTTATCATTACAATTGAGATTCCATGCATGGTTTAATACTTGAAATGCTTTGGTCTGCTGTTTATTCATTGGAGAAGATGTAAGAAATTCTGGGTGTCTATTGAAAATTTCTGACATTACAACCAATAAAGCATCTTGATGGCAAGAGTTTGCAACATTGTTTGAGCCATTCACATAAGAGCCAAACATTAAAGAAACAGGTTTCTCTCCAGAACTACTTGAAATGTTCTTAAAAAGGGATTTCCTGGCAGCAACATCCTTTTTCCCTGAACACTTGTCTGCGTTACAAATAACAAGTGGCCTTCTGCACTTGGAACAGTGAAGAACACGTTTGTGTGGTTTATCTTTCTTACTCTGTAATTTGCTATGCTTTTCCTTTGCAACTTGAATTTCAATATTCTCAGGACTAAACTGTGAAAGGTGAGGAATGGTAGAGGAGCTATTTAAAGACTGTATTTCAACTGTCATTTTGATTTTCTCAGAATGTTCTTTAGCCTTTCTCTCAATCTCCCTCAACTTGGGATGAAGGGTTGTTGGTGGTGCAGTTAAGATCCAATAATGTTGGTGTACAGCTTCAAGTAGTTCATTAATAAAATTGTCATTTCGCCTCACAGTAGCAATTTTTGTTGTTTTTGGTGTCCAGGTGACAAAATGACACCAGTCACTGTTTGTTGCTTTCATGTTCAACTGCATTTGCATATAGTAGCAAGCTGGAATTTGTTTATAGTGCGAGGGATAGCCTCCTTTAAATGGACACTTGTATTCAACAATACCCCTTCCACTTACTCCATGCATACCCGTACCATTAATGATAACAATGTCATCTGGTGAACAACCAAACATATCTTGATTGCAATGTTTGATTGTCCATAATCCTGTCTCATAAACTGTGTAATCACTACATGAATCATTCAAGAATTGCAGGTAGGTGACCCGAGCACAGTCTTCGCAAACAGTCCCCCACTCCATGGCTAATTTGTTGATGAAACCCTGGTTGTCATCAATGCTTTCACCTTGAACTGCAGAGTTCCAATAATCTTGAGCCTGTGTAAGGCCAAAGTGCCCAGTAATAACCCCCGCTTTACTTGCATTTAGTTTGTTCTTCCTTGCCTCTTTCCAAGCCTCTGACCTCTGTTTTAAATATGGATGTATATCTGTTACATCAGCTGGCAACTCATCTTTGAGGTGCTGATACTTGCTGTTCTTTTTTAGGTCATGAGTTTTGAGCAAGGAAACTAGTGCAGGTAAATTTATGCCTTTGGTGTCAGTAGCACATTTATTGGAGGTATTCCTGGCCCTTGTGTTAGAACATTGTGCAGCTAAATGGCCCTTTATTCCACATTTGTAACATTCCTGCTTTGCAAGCCATTCCGGTTCTGGTGGATTGGTACAATTCTTCGCCCAGTGTCCTAACATGTTACATCTCCTACATAAATCTGTTGGGGCGGCCTCTTTTGGCGATTCATTCTTCATTGCTGTTCTTGTTAGTTTAGTTCTTATTGCAGCAGTGTGGCCAGATAATGGAGATAAATCCTCTTTCATTAAATGATATACACACCTTCGCTTGACAAACTTTCTTAAATATAATTCCATGGCTTCTTCAGTGTTATTACTTCCTCCACAGATAAGATTACACAAAGAAGACCACCAACAATATAAGTGTTTGTCTAGAAGAAGTTGTGTCCATGCAGTGTTGTATGTGTCCTTATGGAAGCTTTTAAGGTTAGAGTATTCTGATTTAAGTTTCTGGTCCAGAAGCATGTTGAAATTCATCACATAAGAACGATTCACTGAATCTGAAAGGGAGTCAAGTACTAAATGTGTTGAGTTTATTACCGTTGTAGGCAAAGATTGCTCAATGATGGTAAGAATTTCCAGGCACTGGCACTCAAGTTTTTTCTTTTGATCTTCACTATAGCTAGGCAAAGCTGGACATTTTTCTCCTACCAAGATTTCTTCACAATTAGCTTGATTTTGCGATATCATTTGCTTAATAGTGCATACAGTATTAGCCCGTTCTACTGTCTTACCCTTTCTATTTTGATTTTTCATTAGGTGAAGGGGCTGTGAAGAAACTGCAGGACCTTCATAAGAACTAGAAGAACCATCTAGAAGACCAAGTTCCTGAGTTATGCCAAAATCAATGTCAAGGGTTTGTCGAATTTCCATATATCGTTGAACAGTTGGTGACACTTCACGGCCTCTGACAAGTGAAAAATAATTTTCAACATCATCTTGACATAGGCTTTTTGGGACAATGTTGATATGAGGAAAATTTATCTTCACAAAACCAATTAAAGCAATTGTACCGCGAATCAAGACAAGGAGATCATTATATGTTTTCACAGGAATGAACTGCTTCCTCACTGCCTTTTTTTCATCCTTGCTAGAACATGATTTCACCTTTTCCTCAGTCTCATCATGCCACCTTTTAAAAAACAGTAGTACAGACAGGAGCTCTTGCATGTAGTTTGGATGAAGAGAAACTGAATTCATAATTCTGAAGAGCCGGTCACACATTCTTATGTATTTGCGAGTGAATGAAGTTTCATCTTTAGTGTATGGAAAACATGGGTCTTCCATTGCCTTAGCCGTTGGTTCTGAAAGTACCTCTCGTGCTAACTTAACTTTCATCTTACTTTTAGAATCAATAAATACATGTTTGCTTTTAAGAAGACTGTTTTCTTGTTTAGCAACAGCAGCAACATGATCCCAATGTATGGTTCTTCCCTGGTATGTTAAGTTATAATTTGGGTTGTTCATGAAGTTTCTTAGCTTCTTAATCATGTGAGGGTAGTCTGATATCCAAAAGATATCCCCTCCAGTAACTTCATTCTGTCCTACCCATGGTGTTTTTTTTGATGATGTCCTAAAAAATTTTGAATTCCATGGACCTCCGTCACAAACCCCATATACCACCTTTATGTTGCTGTTTGAAACTTTATCTAGTGCTTTTATGAGGGGCCATATCATGTGTTTGTTTAGTTTTTCAGCGGTGACACTGTAAACTGGAAAAGAAGCAACTGGCCATGTAAAATCTCCCTCAAGACTGGTTAAGAAGAATTGACAAATTTGGCGTGCAGTCTTAGGTTTTGGAACTCTAGCTGAATCATTTTCCGAGTCAGAGTCGGCATAATGTGTGTCATCAGATTCATCATCACTTGTGTAGTAGTTTTCATTTCCCTCCACAAAGTGTGACTCATCTAAAGGCTGACTGGTCTCATTCAATTCTACGTCCAGTTCTAGCTCAGTTGGTAGAGTAAAATCTTCAAAACCAATAAGCTGGCCAGTTCGTCTACACAGCTTTACTCCACTACGAATGTCAATTTCATCCCAGTGTAGACCAAACAAATTGCAGATTCCACGCTGCCTTATTTCATTCCAACACCTTTCTAATTGTGCCATATCAACTGGATCAGTTGAGGTGTTCATATTTCTATATTCCTGCACAAGACGCCAAGAAGGGAGGGGTAACCACTTTCGAACAGCCTCATAACCCTTTTGTTTACATTTAACTGAAAGACTTATAGCAAGCTTTATTGTAAGTGGATCCCAATGCATATTTTTTGGATTTGAGGGACGTTTTTGACTCTCATCAGACTCATTGTTGGAAGATGGTTGATGCAGTTTAAGTTGTGACAAAGCATCCAGCATAAAAGAATAAAGAATAGTTCCCTGTTTCAGAACTTTGTTTGCCACAGCAAAGTTTACCATATCTGACAGTTCATCAAAAGTTGGATGGAAATTAGGAATGCTTAATTTCTGCTTTTGTTTCTTTAACATTATCCTTAGGGCTTTGTTTTGACTGGACAATTTTCGGACTTCATTACTCAGATTTCGGGCTCGATCAAGAAGTTGTGAAGGAGATAGGGCAGAAAGTTTAACTTTACTATCAGATTTTGTTGCTCTCTCTGCAGTTCCTGGGGTTAGTTCCTTGTACCTTTTTAAAGAATTTTCCAACATTTTCTGACATACTTCGCGGCGCCCAGACCTACTTCTCTCTTTCACCAAGAATTGGCACTCCAGACGAGTGACAAGGCTTCCTCCTTCCCACTTAACATTAGCTTTCCTTATTGTTTCATTAATATTTATTGTAGAGTTTCCTTTCTTTACAGGGATTACCCACTGGGACTCGACCGATATCTGTGGTGGTTCTGGGGACCCTACCTTTTGTTTTGCCCAACTTAAAATGTTGCTGTCATAAACTCCACAACAGATTTTTTCACTTTGAAGTTTCTTTAAAATCGTGTAAAGTTCAGTGGAAACATTTGCAATATTTTGATCCTCAACACTACCAAGTGAGCCTCCAATGTTTACTTTTGAATTGAACATATACGCCTGGTAGCAAATCTCATTATCATGAAGAAATACATGAAGCAGTCTTTCATTAAGATTTTGAGAATCACCCCTTTGTGGCGAGAACTGAAACTTAAAAGAGGTAGGCTGCTCAACAGAAATACTCCAACCGTTCATCTCTGACAAAAACTTAGAGACCATTACTTCATACACTTCTCTCATGAAAGGACTTGTGGAAAATGAACACTTTAATTCAGAAGGGGGTTTAATTATTCGAGATAGGGAAACTGATCTTGAGCAGTTTTTGCAGATAAAACAATTAGGTAAGAGTGGAGTTGAAAAAGGAACTCCCTGTGAGATTAAGTTTGATGTTGACAAACTGTCACATGGAATCCAGCACTGTTTATCCAATATGCTAATGACATGTTTAGTGCAATTGTTTTGGTTGTACAAGACCTTTGACTGATGACAAATGCTGCAGGCTAATTGAGTCAGTTGCTTTGGCATTTGAGGTTCTGTTGTACTTAAAAAATCATGAATTCTGTTTTCTAATTCAAAATGATCATTGCAGACATAAAGCATCCATGGTTCATTTACTGTCTCAGGGTGTATTTCATATCTCCCCTGTAATTCAGTTACTGAATGCATGCCAGCTCCATTTCGACACCCACTAATGCAACAATATTTCCCCCCACCACACCGAGTAGGACATTTGTTTTCCTTGTCATCTGTAACTGTCTTCTTATTGGCAGGGCCATTTGCATGAATATCATATGTTTCCTTCTCTTTTATCAAAATGGTCAGTTTAGATTCCAAAGTTTCTGCACGTGTTAGCAAAAATTTTCGCAAGGATCTTATTGCATTATTGCTTAGTTCCCCTGATGTTACTGAACTCAATCTCTCAACGAACTTTTCACACTTTTGTAAAAGGGCATTGATGTCTTTTTCTTGAATAAACTTTTTTCTATCACAGGCAAGAGACAAAAATTCATATTCAAACCCTTCAATTTCTTCTGACATTCCCTGTAAACGTTCACACTCCTTCTTTGCCCAGCAATCTGACCCACTGCAGTCACATATGGTTGCAGGAAAAAGCTTCAAATCGTGATAGGTCATTGCATTTTCAATTGCCTTTAACCTAGATTTGTAAAGTATGGAAGGGAGATAGCCTACACCTGGATGTAATTCGTTTCCCAAATTTTCTAGTTCTCTTGCGAAAACATGCAATCCAGGTAGCTCTATTTTCATGGTTAGGTATTCTTCCTTTGTTGGTTGCTCTTTGAATGCTAGCCCTTCATAATGCAAAATTTTATCATCCAATAATGTTCTTATAGACTGAAATTCCTTTTCTTTTAACTGAACTTGAAACCATCTGAAGAGGGACTGAAAATTGACGGTAAACAAAATGGTTGCTATTATAAAAAGAACATGAAACGAAGGAAGAACGCCGTCAAATAAGGATGGTATCAACGTTCCTTTCGCTGTAAGACTTTCAAATGATAAAACACACAACACTTGATACAAATATTTTAATGCATCATGGAGACTGTCTTTGTAAATACACGACGATCGCTTTTCCGTTTGGTTGTCTGCGTCATTTCTACCTTTCTCCGCGATTGAGGTACGCTTGAATCTCAGTTTGTATCCCCTTTTTAACCTCCGTGGCAATGGAGTGTAATAAATCCTGCAGTTTTCAACGTGAAGTAGTTTCCTGATCAAGTGATGACAATTCCAAGGGCGACCGCGTGTTATTTTACCACAGGCATTCGCATTTGCTGTAATTCGAATTGCAATCACTGGAGGCTCTATTAACCTGGCCGACTGGCCTTTCATTCCAGTCTTGATCTCATTAGACGGAAGCGAAAACAGATGTCGAAAGGTGCTGTTGAAGGCCAATCTCCAGGTCAAGTGGCTGCTGACTGAGCGAAAGCAGTTTACCGCCTGCTGGTAAAAGACCTCATAGGTCGCATTCGCATCAGCTGAATCGTCTACAGATTCAGCTGGTGTCTCCTCGGAAACAAGGCTCTTAATTTCCGGTTTAGCATTCAACAAACACGCTAAAATCACAAAGACAATAATCCGAATTGAATTCATATTTGCCAGTCTTTACCATAGACAAAAACGCATTTCTGCATGAGTTGGCACATTTGCATGATTTCCCGCGCGATTGTGCACATGCTCACGTGCGTCCTCCAGTGATTGACAGTTTTCTTAACTGGGGCGATCATGGAAAGCCGAAAAGCGGCAAGATCAGAGGCCGTTGCCAGCCCCCCCTGGTTCTCATTGACCAATCGGAGCTCAAACTGGCGAAATTTGAATGAGAAGTGTCAAATTTCCTCTTTCAAAACAAAGTACGGAATCGTCACGGTATGTAGCTTTGAAAAAGCATGTCTTCATTGCAGCGATGCGAAATCGGTGGTTTAACGAACGAAGTGCAGTATCCGACAAAGAAGGAAAGCAAGCAGTCTCATTGCTCGACGGAATGGAAATTGTGGTGAGTATAAATCCGCATTCACCCACTAGAGCAACTATTGCTTCTCGCGAGGAAATAGCCCATCCACTGCACCTCTTCATTTTTTCAATACTTTCTTTCTCAAACATTATATTCCTCAATGCACAAACATAAGATGTGTTTATTATTTAGCGTTCCATAAATTCCCTAGCTGATTTCATCGTTTTCGTAGGATTTTGGGAAATTACGAATACGCCGAAGATGGACTGGTGTTCGTGAATGACATCTTGAAACATTCAAATGAAGAAAAAGAAAATTTTAACAAAGACTTAACACGCTGTACTCTGGGTTGCTTGATGAAAGAGTTATTTTCCGAACAAGTACGTCTTGTACAACGAGGGCCGAAAGTTAATAAACAACGCGCATACTTAAATCTACAGCGCATTCAAAGAACTGACAGGGTTTCAACCTCCCTCAGCACTTCTTCTTTACTGCTGCCAAATGGCTGGCATGCCATTAAAGATGGATCCGACCAAATCAGTTTTATCCGCCACGAAAGCTGGGAGTTCAGCAATCAGAGAGGCATAATTGAACTTAGAGTGACACAGAATACCCCTTCGAACATTACCCTCAAGGTGAATTCGCACGAGTGCAGTGTTGACCTCAAAAAAGATCTAGGTGTCGAGCAGCTATTTAACAAGATGTCGTTTGACAGGCAAATTCTACTTGCCATACAATTTATCGAGAGCTCGAAGGTTTGTCTTGGATTTCCCGTAAAAGAATCGGAAAGAGTTTTGACTATGGTGCCCCACCGCACTGGCGTTTTAGAAAGCATGACAGATGGGCTCCAAGGGAAAAAGGTTTTCGCTCAGAATTGTCTGGTGTTAACATCTAGTCCATCGAATACATGCCAAAATTGTTTACGAGTGCAGTCAGCAGATAAAAAGTGCAGAAAGCGAAAGGCGAACAAGGAAATCCTCAGTCCCTATTGCAATAAAAGATTCCTGACCAAAGAGGAAGTTGAGTACCAACTAAAAAGGGAACAAATGGCTAAACGAAACGCGGAAAAAAGAGAAGTTTTTTGGCGAGAGAAATTTGAAAATGAGGCCGTACTTATTGATGAGGAGGATCAACAGGATTTGCTTCAAATGGCCGGTTCAGTAAAAGAAAATAATCTGCCTGAAAATTTGCAATGCTTGTGGCAGCAGCAACAAAAAATCCTCAAAGCCAAGAGCAAGAACGGCTACCGATGGCACCCAAAGTAAGTTCAAATAACAGACTGCTCAAATAAATTACTTGATAATTGTGCCAATAACAAAATGATTGAATGTGATTGCTTCTTTACAGCCCATATATATTTATATTTAATTTTGCTACGATTTGACCTGTCCGTTAATACCAGGAGCATGTAATCGGACAGGTCAATTCTGACAGTTGTATGAAAATCTAGTGGCAAATGTCACTAGCTGATAAAAATTTAACTACATAGCACATGACAACCAATCAAAATCAATGAATAAAATAGTGCCCCTTCAAGCTTTTCCGCTTAGACTGGAAAATAAAAACTGATTAAAGTAACTGGTAATAAGACTTTGTGTCATACAATTCATGACTGGAGTGTTGATCAATCCAAGCCAACTGATTTACTTTACAGCTAAACTGCTCATCTATTCTGGAAGCTAATCATGGTGTCTATTTTACTGACAACTTTCTTCATTTTATAGGATCATGCAGTTGTGTATACAATTATATTGTAAAAACCCTCATGTGCTGGACCCTCTTCGCAACTTCATCCGCTTGCCAAGTAATCGAACAATCAGGTTGGTTGATAAATGTTGAAAAAAATTTCTGATCAAAGAGAAACAGATCATCAAACTGGAGAGAAAAACTGAAAAAGAGAAATACTGAAAAAGGATGAATGAAACTAAAATCAAATCTTACTACAGACTGTGTTAAAAATTAAAACAAAGTAGATCAGAGGAATGATGACAATGTTGAGAATTATTGTATCTTGCCTACCAATAACCTATTAATAGTTAATCTTTAATATATTAACAACTTCCATTTCTTCAAATTAACTAATAATTATATATTTGCATACAGGTATCACAAGAACAAACGAGAGCAAAAGCCAGGCTGGAACAGGGAGATTGTTGAGTGGTGCAAACAGGCAGCAGAAGACAAAAATTTGAAAGACTGTGACTACTGGGGTGGCCTTGTCATTGACGAAATGAAGGTTGAGGTAAGCAGGCTCATTTATATGGTGATGGTTAACTCAGATTTGCAATAACAAACATGACTCTACAAACCCTGTTTCTTGTGAAATTTTTGCCTATCATTAATCAAAAAGGTGACTTTTTCATATTTTGACTGTCTCAACTCTCATTAGATGTGATTTGAAAAATTCTCACTACCATCAAGCCTCGTCCCTCACTTGGCACCTTAACACACTGATCTACACAAACACACACACACATAAAACCTCCCTCTCAAAAAAGTACAGTAGCTTTGTAAACCTTTTAAGCATAACATAGAAATACTCCTTTGAATATATTATAAACAATCTGAAACATGGTCTTATCTGTTATCCACCTCTAACAGGAAAATCTGGAAATGGTTGTGAAAGGAGGAAAGCACCGTCTTGTTGGTTATGTTGATCTTGGTCCCTTACATGATGATATGCGTGCCTTAGAAGGTAGACACTGTTGCCCATGGCTTTTATGGAAAACTATTTGCACCCTTTGCATGTTTTCTGAAATTGAGTCATCCATTTTTATTTTCATTTCCCTACAAGTGAGTCACATTTTTTGGTGCTTTGTATTTCTCCCTTAAATGTTATTCTCCTGTGTCTGAAACTCATTATCATACCAAAAATAAAGAGAACAAGCTTGACATAACAAGTTCTTATAAACCTTGTGCAACATTCTGCATTTACAATAAATGGCATTTACACATATTTATATAATTTATGTGTATTACATATCATTAGGTAAGAAGGAATTCACACTGGCATCCCATGTCTTACAGTTCCTCTTTGTCAGCGACTGTGGTTTTAGATTCCCAGTAGCACAATTCCCAAGCCATGACTGCACTCCCAGTGATCTTTTCTTTCAGTTTTGGAAAGGTGTACGGATGATGAAAGAATACTCTTTTACGTAAGTCAAATAAAATAATATTAAAACTATAGTCATTAGCTGCCCCTGAGTTACCTCAAATGCAAATAAATTTGAAACTGTAAACACTGATTTCTCACAAGTTAAAAAAAATTTTTAATCAATCACAAATCACTTGCAAAATTACTGTCAAAAGCAGCACTGCTTTGTATTGATTTATCAATTACAAAAAATTCAAGTAATCTATCCTTATGTATATCTAAAATCAGTCTATGTAACTGTTTTGTACAATGGCATAACACTAAGCCAAGTTGCCCTCTGTCTTCATGAATCAAAAGGATATCCACATTATCTTGCGTAACACAGAATACTGAATATTTGTTACTAAAATTCTGAGTAAAGAAATCCTTTAAAAAAAACATTTGTTTTCTTCTGCTAACAGCATTTACTGGACCATTCTTGATGGTGCTGATGTGAATAGGAAATTCATCCAAATGCACTTCCCTGACTACGAACCAGTGGAAAAGAAATTTGTGGCTTTCAACATGCACACAGGCGGACCAATGGTATTCATGGTGGATTGCAAGGTAAATTCTAAATTAAGTGTCACATAAATTTCTGCTAAACCTACGGGAACATTTTTCCTTACTAAACTAACAGGTGACCGGCAGTTACAGTTCAAATGATCTACACAAGGACAGCATACCCCACACGACAACCCCAACCTACTTGGAAGGTCTCTTTTAAGTCTTTAAATGTTTCACACTGTAATTGAATGCAACCACCTCCAATTACACCCCCTCCCCCCTCCTGTACATCAATGAAACTTTTGGCACCTGACATCAAAGGATGTTTAAGACGATGTTACGCTCCCAAACAGTATTTCCAATATTATTCCTAAAGTGGCATACTGTCCTTTCTATTATACATGAAGGGGAGGGGGCAGTAATGTTGAACATCATTAAACAATGTACAATAATCATTAATATTTACAATGTCTTCTGAGGGCAATTCCCTCTATGCCCTTTACACTTAATGGCCCATGTTCCCCCAAATGGGCTTTGCACGCTTCTGTTTTTGGTTTGAAACGTTTCTTTTGTCAAATTCAGTGTTTTGATTGGGCAGAGTGTTTGCCTTTTTCTCACTTGACCTAAGCATGATTCCATACACAATGAAGACAGCAATTTTCAAGTAAACGAAATCATTTTTCTGGAGAACAGGGCCTTCCACACCGCTCAGGTGAACATAAGCCTTTAAAGTTGGAGCCTGTGAAAATGCTCCTGCAGTAATATAATTATCCAAGTGTATAACACAGTGTAGTATTTGTTACTTACAAGCGTACATGTATACTGACTAACTGTTGAATGAATTTTTTTTTTTTTTTTTTTGCAGCATAATTTCAAAAAAATAAGAAACAATATTGAAAAGAGTAACGAAGCAGGGAAGCCAAGATGCCTAACAGTAGCTGGGAAAAGAATCCTCTGGAAACATCTTATAGACGCATACAAGTTTGACCAATCATTGACATCTATCCATATTCATGAGAAGCTGAAAGAGGAACACTTTCAACTGGATCCAGCACTACGAATGCGCAATCATCTTGCAGAGGATGTCCTGGACAAGAGGATGCATTTCCTAATAAAAGTAATAGATACCTTTAAACATTGCTACATAACAGATTTTAAGAATACCTCACTAATTTATTTTAAATATTTGCAAAAGTTACTGCTAACCTAATAGGGACCATTGCCCTGTTAGTCAAAGGAAGGTAACTTATTAACCTCTTGTAAACAAGGCTTTTAGAAAATACATGCTGCTGGCAAAATTAAGCCAGATGACCATGGTAGAAAGTTACATGTTCCACATCTGGGGCAGTGCACTAGTGCACATCATCAAAATAAGTGCACCTGCCATTTTCTGACTTAAAGTGTTTAGTTGCTTATTCTTTGTTTTGCCCCTTTGCAGGCCTACCAACGACATTTGACAAATAATGGAAAGGATGGCAGTGCACTTGATGCAACAATACAAATGATAGACCACACAAGTTTGGTAATTGAATTTTTTAGTACAAGTAGGGAAGCAGTTATGAGTAAAGATGATTCAAGAATAAGAAATCTGGATGGTTTCATACAGTTCTTCTCTGATTGGAAAGAGGAGGCAACACCTAAACAGTTCATTTCCAGTAAGCTTTGGTTTGATCTCCAATCAATGGTCCATGGTTTTAAATCAGTTGTAAATATCAAGTTGACAGAATTCCCTAACTCTGTAATCAGACAGTGGCTTGTTAATCAAGATGGAGTGGAGAACCACTTTTGTCAAACTAGGTCATGCAATGGTTCTAACAACAACCCAACATACAGGTTGCAAGAATCATCACAGAACACTATAAGATTTGGACAAGAAGGAATAAGCTCAAAGTGTAATGCTGGTATCTCCAGAACCTAGACTAGTACACATGTACATGTAAATGACTGATGTCTTCTTTTCCTTGTTGTTAAATGTGTTAACTGCAAAAATTTATATTTTTAAGGCTGCAATAGGTTTCTAGTGTTTATGCATGAAGCAATGCATCTCATGCACAGCATGGGAAAGAAAGGAGAAAGTAATTCCCTTGAAGGAATATTTTTCATGTAAATGTTACCGGTCAATTTTGATTTAACATAGGCTGATTTTCAATTTCCCTTGTTTCCTTGCCCTAATTCATGAATAATTAGGGCAAGGAAACACAGGAGATTGAGACTCAATCTAGGTAAAAAAAATTTAACCTGTAACATAGATATCAAAATCTTAATAAAACTTACCAAGAATTATTGACGTCTTAGTTTAACCTTGTAATTCTTAGCATAACTCTGCCATCGACGACATCAGCCTGAGCACTCAGATTATGCAGGTGATGTGGGTGGGGCATAGCAGTGAGACTACTATTATTTTTCAAAAGTTCAACCAATTCTTTGGCTAGGTCTTGCTTGTTATAGGTTGACCTGACCCGGATTCCATAAGCCTTGCAAAGCTTTACCAACTGCACCTTGTTGTAAACTCTTTTGACACCTGCGATGCCATGTTTTTCAACAAACACACATACCCTCTGGTGGCTGTGCTGCTTGCCAGTGGACCTGTCCTCCAACATTGTAGCAAACTTGGGGTGGTCATTCCTTTCAGTTGCAACTTGTTTTCTTTGAAGTACACGTTTCCGGTGTTCAGCAGTTTTCTTTAGCTTATATCCACGACGAAAATCCCTTAGGAATTGACAAGTAGCCATCTTCATGTATCTCGAGATGACATCTTTGAGAAGTTGTCTCACTAAAACCTGTTTAAGAAAGCCATAGAACACGTGTAAACTAGCTGCCAGATCTATTTCTAGACCATTGTAATGTTAGGAAGTTACAATTTAGCAAATTTAGACAGTGTCAGTTAAGTTTTCAGTGTTAATACTATCTCAGAGGGAAGATAAAAGGAGACCTGCCACACCATAATTAAGTGATAGTAAGTACTGCAGTAAGTAAATTGTGATCCACTCTCACTGTAACTTACCGTCACATCAGGTTATACACCACAATATGAGTTATATAAAAAATCAGATGGAGCTTTTTAGTTTTCTTATGCATTCCTGAAGAGTGATGAGTGTCCAACCTATTGATTAGTGAACATGAACTAATAATTCTGACCACCATTTGAAAAAAGATTTCTAAAATATGTCAGAAAATGGCAAATAATATTAGCACTCAGGAAGTATGACTTCTTAGATGACCATACCTCTTTGTCTGCACCAAGGTCTTCGAAAGCACCTCTCCAGGCATCCCAAAGGATTTCATCACACTGAATCTTTTCGATTACCACATCCAAGAAGTCACTTCTATTCCCTGGCACCAATCTGTCTCTGTTCATCTCCGCCACTCTGATTTCCTCTATTCTTTTAAAACAGCAAAATGTTTGGTCTGATATGTGAAGTAGGCCACGCTCTCTGAACTGTCTGTCCTCAGTGACTTCCAGGGACTCAGAAAACCTGGTGTTATCCTTTAACCATGAGTATTGAACAATCACATTGTCTTCCAACAGTTCACACTTTGTATGTGCAATCAAAACACTCTGACGCGTAGTTGTTGATTGAGAATACAAGTTTTGACGAATAAACCTGCGACAACGCTCCAGCTCCTTTCTAATGGCCCAACCCCCAACATGTCTTAATTTTGCAAGTCCTTCGGGTGGCATGTCTGATACATTGAAACTACATGGTTGTGAACGATGCATAGTGGTAACTTTACTAGCAATGTGATGGACAAAAAACTCAAATGTATCCATGCAGAGATCAGAGCCAATAGATATATGGGCCTCGGTGAGCTCTCGTACATCAAATAAGGAGCGCAGTTCTTTGCGATACTCCACTGACCCAATTACATCAAGGTACAATTTATGAGTCATGTCAGTCAAGTGTTTCCGTAATATGACAGTTTCTTCATGATTAGTTGCCAGGTAATCGCCCATTATCTGGAAGATTCTCAACCACAAGATTTTTGATACCAGCTTCAATTGATGTAAACGATTGGACAAAACATTTTGAATGGCTGCATTCCTCTCAGTACAGAACTGGTTTTTTTCTTCTGGGACCCTTTGTTTTTGAAGCAATTTGACAATGTCATAGTGTTCAGGTGGCTGACTAAATTGGTTTTCACTGTTGTCCAGCTCAAGGAACACAGTGCCCAGATCAACTATAAGCTCATCCCCTTCTTTCTCAAAGTATGATGATACCAGACCATCGGGGTATGCGTCTACAGGTAGTACTTCGGGTGCGTCCCCATCCTCTTCTCCAAAGTCCTCTCCTATGTCACCAACCATATTTCGAGCTTGGGCTACCTGTGCTTGCAGGAGTACTCAAAAATGTCGCGCGTATCAAATTCTTTACAAGACCTAGTATCACATCGTTTTTACTGAAACCATTAAATAACAAAACAAATAATAATAAATTCGCTATTATGTTGAAGCGTAACTCTGTTAAAATTCATTCAAACACTCCACCACACTGACAGCTCGCACTATAGAAACGAGAACCAGCTGGCCGTATGGGTGATTTTGGAAATTTTCTGAAATTTTTGAACGGTTTGGCTCGTCCTGAATATTGACTGAGTGCAATTTGTCTTGAAAAATTGTGAAATACCGCATTCTGTCCGAGCTCTGTATGATAAATACTACTGTTTCACCTCAAATGTGGTGTATAAAAATTATAAAAGGTTGGTTTAAACACCCCCAGATTTGTTGGCAAGAATTTGTAAAGTAAACCTGTCGAACGCAAAAAAATTTGGCGTGATTTGTTTCCAAGAATTTGTTTTCGAGGCCTTATCTACTGTGATCTTGAATGTGATCGAAGATGTTTGCTATTTTTTGGTGTACATATAAGGTTATCAATTCGATGTAAGATGTTTCACTCTAAAATAACTTAGCCTTTCCCTCAAAAGTCACATGAATGTGCCCTTAAGTTAAATGATTTGTAGATTAAAAGTTTATTGTTTGATATAAATTATAAATTTATTAAAATCGGAGCTTCGCTTTTAGCCCTGGCTAAATCTATATATTACATCTAGCTACCTTATCAATGTGGTTTTAAGCGGCGGAATGTAATTCAGTCAATGCGAGCTTATTATTAAATTTAATAAACAACAACTTTCTGATTTTTTAACCGAGAATCTTCCCATTTTGATTCCCTGCTTAGCCCAAAATCCGAAAATTTGCGACCCCATTCTAGTAAATCTATAGAAAATGCGACCCCATTATAGTCACTCCAGTCGTGAAAATGCGACCCGATCCAGCGGCACATCCCTATTTTTAGCCTCTTGTAAGGGAGTACCCCCCACCGGGCACGTGGGGCTTGAAAGACAAATCTCGATCCAATGTAACGCTAAGAATCTTGAGAGTTGGTTCAGTTTTGATGGACTTGTCACCAATAAAAAGATTATATGGCTACTGAGATTTCCCTGTGACATTGCCTGAGTTTTAGTAGCGTTTACTTGCAGGTAATTCGCAGTGAACCAGACGGTTAATCTCTCTATATCTTGATTCAGTGTAGATTCTAGTGTGCAGGGGCTCTCATGTGCTATATATTGCGTTGTGTCATCAGCATACAGACGTAGGGAGGAAGATCCAGTTGAGTAATTGACATCTAGAAGGTCCCCTTGCGGCACTCCACAGCGAAGAGGCAGCCAGTCTGACACCTTCCCGTTACATTTTACTCGTTGAAAGCGGCCTGATAGATATGACTGAATCAGTTTTATGGCCGAATCGTGAAAGCTTTCAGTTTTGCTAATAATAACAAATTATGGCAAACCGAGTCAAATGCTTTGGATAGGTCAATAGCGACCACCGCCACATCCTTTTTATTGTCAAGAGCCTGGCGCCAGTCATCAGTTAGCTTTAATAAAGCGGAACAGCAAGAATGCCCACGCAGGAACCCTGACATATTATCCGAAAAGACTGGTGTGAATACGCTGTATAATTGATCAAATTTTAGTTTCTCAAACACCTTGGGTAACTCTTATTCAGTTAACTCAAATTCATTTAAATTACAAATCTAAAAAGATTACGTTTAAAAATATTCAGATTCACGGATTGTCTGATTGCCTGGCTAAGGGAGTTAAAATCCTTGATGGCATGAAATGCAGTCCCTTGTTTGCCCCAATTCCTCTTGACACTTGGAAGTCTGAGATTCAGCTTAGTTCTGGTATTATAATCATGTTGTTCTTGCTGTCTTATGAATTCATATCATGCTCAACAAGTCCATTTAAACACTTATACACATAAATACATCTTCTCTGAAAACGCCTTTTTTCTAATGAGTGGCAAGCGCATGCGTAGCAGATGATTACTGACTTGCAAACTGGTCATTTTAGAATGTCCATGTACTGACTGAGATGTTTCGTGAAATACACACGATGAGTCGCGTCATTTTTAGTTAACTCACCGTCACGAATATTTTCAGGCAATATTTGAGGTATAAGCTATACTTATACTGGCCGATCGAAAAAAGTCCTTTGACACTGACTTATTAAAGACTTAAAGGGAAAAAATTACAATTTATTTTTAAAAGAAAAAATATATCAAAAAAGAGAGGAAGGAAAAGACGATAAAGGAATTAATATTGTACTTTATTTTTTTCTAAGCTTGCGAGCGGGCGGAATCCTCCAAATCCTGCAATCTGATTGGTTCCGAGAGCGGGTAGTTTTTTACGATCTTGCCCGCTAACCTGGGCGGAATCGTTGGCAGCTTCATTCACAAGTTTGTTTGTTGTTTGTGAATGAGCAAAACCGGTGATTTTTACCCTTTTTTCTTTTAAAACTTGCGCTATTATTAGCGTTAACTAGGGATAAGAGAATTCTGTTATTCAGACAAAACATCTGAAGGGAGAATCAAGCAAGTCAGCCAGTCGCTTCAATAGCTTTTAACCTCCGCTGTAAGTACTGCAATCTTGCTCTTATGCACCGTTTATTCGACATTTTTCCTCTGTTTGTAGGTATGTTTTGCATTTTTGCTGTCTGAATCTAGATTCTGCCGTTTTTCATTGAATTTTGCCTCGCTATTTTTCTGCTTTTCAGAAAAGGTTATTGTCAACGATTACATTTAACTTTCAATCTTGAATAAACAACATTATCGCCGTTTTTATTTCTTTGTTTATATAATCGTTTAGTTACCCACATCGTCTTCTTTTATTCCAATTCACTTCAAAACCCTAAGATTAGTATGTGTAATTAGCTCTTTTTATAAAGCCTTTGAGCAGTTTTTATAATTACCCCGCTCGATTGAATTATCTTTGCTGTATTTTCTTTCCTGTGGCCTCTTTTATCCTTGTTTGACACTCAGATTATGAATTGTCTACCAAGGCACAAAAAACCTTTCTTTATTTCTAAAGAGAGGCTAATTGTAGTAATAGAAGTGACAAGTTAAAAATTATGTTGTTATGTTTTGTTTTGGTTTGCAATCGATCGCGCGCTTTGAATAACAGAACACGCCCTTCCCCAACACACATAGGTTGGAGGCTGAAGTAAAATTTTCCTGAAAATTTTAAATCTCAGTAGGAAAAAAATAAAAATGTTACTCACCGGCCAAGGTCGGTCCGTACTGGGAAAAACCGTGCCCTCGGTCTGAGTACTGCCCTCGGCCTACGGCCTCGGGCGGTACTGAAGGCCTCTGGCACAGTTTCTCCCAATACGGACCTCCCAGCCGGTGAATAACATTTTTTGACACAAAAATTTTAAATAGAACTAACTGAGCCAGAAGCCGATTACTACCGAGTGAGTTTCCTCAATTGCAAAACCTGGTCGGTCGGTCGGAGGTTTGCCTTTAATTTTATACAGGAGCCCATCAAAAGGAGCCTCCATCTCCATTAACTTCCTAAGTGAACCCTTTCCCGAGTAGATTTATGAATAGAACGGCTTGTTTCCCGCGAAAAGTGTCATATTTCCGTGAGTCTTGTTATGTCACCGTGAACAAATAAAGTTGGATGAAGTCGAACTCAGTAGCCCGTCCTCCGTCGACCGTTTTCCTTTCTTACTATACGTCCGTTTTTACGATTTTACAGCCGCTGGGATCTGGGTATCATGAAATAATTATAAAAGTTAATGAATTACCCGACGGAGACTGACCATGAAGCGATGGGACAAAGGCAGCGAACTGGGGATGACCGAAAGGTTATCTATGAGGGGTTTTTTTGTTTGCTTTTTTTTGTTTTAGTTTGTTTGTTTTTTTTTTTTGCCGTCATACATCCCACATGTAAGCATGCACTTCGAAAAAGAGTCGACGATTAGGCGTTCTGTTGACGATTTGGAACTTTTCGATGATCAGCGAAGAAGAAGTGCCAGGAGAATTTGATTTTTGTCATGCACCATGGAGTGGATTTCGCCAGTTAAACACGGCGTGCAAAAGCGATGACCTGAGTAGCAGCTAACGAGGGAATGCTTTAGTTCCGAAATTTGAGAAATTACAGTCTTCCTTTACAACTGAATTGTATTAAAATGAGTTTTGCCTGATAACACTGGCACCTGAAAAGTTGAACAGAAGAGAACAGTTGCTCGACTGTGAAGCTAACTCAAAAGTCATTTGCTAACGGAGGAATTTCCGAGAAATTTGTGACATCGCGCTCCAGTCCAAAGACCCAGTTATCTCAAGAAAAACAAAATGGATTGTATCTGCGCCAAAAGAATTATGACTGACTAACAGGACAATTCTCAGCAGTTAATGTAGACGTTTAAGCTCAATTCTTTCCTTCGAATTCGCATCTGTAGGTCACTTTTCGCGAGAAAACAATGTTAAATAGCTGGGGCCGGCGTTACAAAACATAGCAGGGAATCATCACACTAGCTGACGGACAAAACAAATACAAGAACTACAAGTATTTATTCAGATAAACGCATTTCGGAAATAAAAACCTTCAAAAACTAGAAATTTGATTAACATTGAGTCATTAAGCCGAAATAACCTTAACGCTTAAAAAAACTGGCTAAAGAAAACGAATCGTGTCAGAACTACAGACTGCATGACTAGTATAATTCAGTGTGAGTATTGTCAATGTATTACATTAAAAAGTGCGATAAGTTCAAAGCAAAACGTACTAGTCATGGAGGTATGTATAGAGCGCAATATTTTGGATAAATTGGCATAACGTCAAAACAATGAATATTGAAACACAGATTTTTGACAGGTTCGTAGGATAGGTTTTATCTTGAAATTTTAAGAGGCTGTCTCAGTAAAAATCGCGTGAAAAATAATTTTGCCTCAAACTCTGGCAAGTGAAAAGCTTTATCGAGACTATAACT